AATGACGCATAAGGCGAGAAAGACTCGAACTTGGAAAGCGTAGTCGTAGCGTATTCCAGTCGAAAGAACTGGGAAACGCATCTTCAATACTCCGAAAATCCTTTCGATGCAATTGCGCAGTTGCGCATGGCGCATGTTGAACATTTCCTCCTTCGTTCTTGGCCTCAATCTCCCTTGTCCCCATTCGTTGAGGTGATATCGAGTTCGTCTAACGAAAGCAGCAATGGAACACGCATAGCTAACAGACATACCTGTATGGTGTCAAGCACTTCATCGTAAGTGCATAACCAGCATCTCCAATGTCAAACTTGGTTGGTGATAAGGCTAGTCCATTTTGCAGGGCATCCTTGTAAACCTTGGAGTCGCTCGCGGTTCCTTCCCAGCCAGCGTACACAAATGTGAACATGAGATTGAAATTGCAAGCAGCAAGGACGTTCATTGTAACACCCTTCCTTCCATGGAATGGAGCGGCCTCGTGTGCTGGAACCCACACTGGAATATGCGTGCCATCGATTGCCATACGCAAATTGTCAAAGTATGGCGAGAACTTCGGATTGGTAGCAATCGTTGGAGGTGTTGGGTCCTCTTCACGTGGGAATCGGATATACTGAGGAAGTAAGCGCATGAACGCTTTCACCACCGATCTCAAATGCCTTGTGATTGTTTCTCCTGAATGCTGGAATCTTTGTTGCATGCTTCTCGAGGACGAATTCTCACGGCAAAAATAGAGAAACAAGCACAATTGCTCTTGAGCATCGACTTGGCGTGTACTCTTCAGGCCTCCACGGTTCACGAGGACATGAAGCAGGTCGCGGAATGTGTCTTGATCCATGCGGAAATTCTCAATGAAGGCTCCCTCATGGCCTTCGATCATTTCGCCAACCCACATTCGACCTGTTAGTTGGGATGTTCGCTTGGATGTCTTCAGCACAAATGCGTTGTAGTGGTACATTGCATATGCCATCAATAAGAACCGCTGTCTTCGCTTGATGCGGCGACGGATAAGCTCCACAAGCAACCGCATCACGTTCCTTCTTCCCGCGATCTTCGCGCGCCAACTCGAACTCCTCCGGATGCAGCTCAGTTTATGCGGATTTATGGATTATGAAAAGGTGGCTTCCAGACGCTCCTCTCATAACCAAATCTCAT